ATATATATATATATACCTAGCTAAGAGTAAACCAATACCAGGATCCACCACCGTTCTGGTATCAAAGTCGCATGGTGGTATATGTCCCTCTGATCCACAAGGGCTGCGACTGCCCATGGTAGTTTACTGGGGGCAGACCTGGGGCAGACATTGGCCAGGCTGACCTCGGAGCTCTAGGGAACCATAATAGCTTAACCAGCAAATCTCCGAAAAATGGAGATTATGCTGGGGCCCGCACAACCAGTGAGGACGGGTCAATCAAGAATCAGGTATCAAGTATTCTTGAAAACCGATATCCGGCGATGCGCTCGTGGGTAAAACCAGAATGGTTTTTCTTCTGTGTGCCATTATGGAGCACTAATGTAATCCCACATAACACGTTTCATTTGGAACACGGAAAAACTCCAATGTACACCTCACTCATTCACAACAGTCTACAAATCAATGTCTAGTTCACAAACAATTATTACAATTATTCCTGTCATTGTTTTATTATAGTCATCAATACCTCACATATTCTTTTATTTTTTATTTTATTTGATCCGTCTTCACGTCTACCGTGCGGATCCCAACACTTCTCATATCCATTTCGTTTCCTCGTATCCATCATCCGCGAAGATTCTCCAACTTTTACGTGTGACTCGGTTGCTGCTTGAGGATTTTCGTTTTATATTGAATCTCGTGGAGTGCTGGTCAAGCAATTCTCCCTGGACTCCTAAGCTAGCCGAGCTGGACCGTTCCCAATTGGATTGTAGAGGGTAATTTTTCCTAGAGAAGTCTGGTACCAACTTCCCGACCCCGGAGGGATGAGAGGCCTGGTTGACCCGGAGCGGAATGGAACTAACACCATGATCGTGATGACGGACATCAACACCACTGTGCTACCCGCCCCCTTTACAAAGTTGAGGTGTGATTCGCAAGCTCACACTAGCCGGGTTGGCAAGAAAATACTGGTGAACCAAATCGTTTTATCGTTCGTGAGTAAGTGTTAGACTAGTCTTAACTTTTTATTTACTGCCTAGTCTTTTTAACGGCAGAGTAATTTGCGAAATATATACTATAATGCTAAGATATTTGCAAAACTTTGGACCACAGGTGTCTGCGGTGGGGAACGAACGCGCTGTTGTCCTTTCAGAGGAGTTCGCCACCACACCATGCGGGTCTTGCGTTTCACCTGTCTCTCAGCTAGTTCTATCGATCTTCTGCCATCAGCAATCACCCGTCAACGGAATTGATCTGGAGAGGCCAAATCGGCATAGAACCCAGTTATGCTGAGGCTATAGTTATAATCACAACCTTAACCTTTTTATTTACTGCCTATTCCTTTTAATGGCAGGGTATTTTGCGAAATATAACTACTATTATGTTGAGATATTTGCAAAACTCCGGACCGCAGGTGAGAGAGAGAGAGAGACGAAACGAAGGACCCGCATGGTGTGGTGGTGAACGCGTTACTCCCCGGAAAGGACAATAGCGCGTTCGTTCCCCACCGCAGGCATCTGCGGTCCGGAGTTTTGCAAATATCTCAGCATTATAGTTGTCAGACTAGTCTTCAGACAATAAAACAGCGTTAAACTCTATCACTGTATTTTGTTGTGTATATGAGCTTAGAGGGCGCGTGTGGCGCAGTGGTTAGAGGTGCCAATACGACACACACGTGGAATCGGCTCTGGGTCCATGGCCCGCCAAGCCTTCCATACCTCCGGGGTCGCCAAATTGGTAATTGGTACCAGACTTGTCTAGGAGAATGGCAGCACTGGCTTGATACAGCAGTAGTCCACCACGATTCATTGTAAAGGCTAGATATGCATTCAATCATTTCCCACGATACTTAATGAAGTCGAACGCATGGCGCATCTCTCAGGAATTGATCAATGCCGAAAACTGTATTCTTTATCCTTTATACGAGTTTATATGGGTTTGCTATCAAGTCCTTACTGTGGCTGAGGTTTGGGAGCGTTCACCTTCCTCAGAGACGCGATGATTCCATCCGAATTGAGTGTCCACACTGTGTGGTGCTTCATCCCACTTTATTCGACTCGATGCAACGATTACGAAGAACCACATCTCAACACTGGATGGCTAACGATCTCGTGCAAGCTCATGGACCTAACAAAATGTTGACTGTTCACGCAGAGATTAAAAGAAAGACGGCTTCAAAAGACATTTCATCACCGTTTCTCAATTTTTTGGGTCATGTTTTGGCACGTTAAGGAAAAATGTCTGCACTGAAAAACCGAAATTCATGCTTCCCAAGGATTTCTCCGTAGAGTATGATCCACATTTTGAATGGATCGCTGGCGAGTGAATCCTTATGGGGTGCTATGTTTACCTTTGGAATGATCAAATAGAATTTTCTGTAGACGGTTAATGTCTGTAATAATCCGTATCAGATGCCGTCAATCGACCTCGAGATTTTTTGTGTAAATGTGGTATTTTCTTCGCCCGCCGACTGGCGCAAGGCCGTTGCTGTTTTTTATGACGATTTGTTTGTAAAAAAATTGCTGGAAAAAACTGACACCCAAACGGACGCCGAAATTCTGTCCACATCTCTTTATAAATTGCACATCGTTATCGTTTAACAAATCTTTCATTACAGAGAAATCGGAACGGCAATGTAAAGCTGATGAAAATCCATACAGAAAATCCTTATACAATACAGTACATGACTGTGCACGAAGATAAACCTGGATAGAGTCCAAACTTTAGTTATGAACAATTTTACAACTTCTAAACGTAGAAAGACGACCGCAATCAAATGGACCACGCTCGAGCATTGCATCGACGAGGTGGCTCGATGAAGATGAAGAGGTAAGATCGGGTCAAAACTATCGAAAAAATTAATACGTTCTGGTGATTCATATGAAAGGAAATGGAGTAGCTGCTGTACGGACCGCGACACTTCTAAACCGACTATGGCGAAAGAACGATGATACCACAACACGTCACAAGACAGAGATGGGGCGTGAGCGAGACAAACATCAATGACACGATCGACGTCGGTGCCGAAGAAGTTATTGAGTATCCATGATGTTTTGTGCGGTAATCAGCGATTTGAACTGATCGACTTCTCGCTTCAACTTGGCAATCTCCTCTTTCAGTTGGTCGTTTTCGCTTTCAAGTAACTTAAATATAAGTGCAACAAAAGATCTGTCGTTAAGTTATTGTAAAAGTTTGCACTAAGCGGAATATCCTGATAGAAAGTGCATTTGAAACCCGGCACTTTGGCCCAGATTCGGTCTCCTTTTTCGACAAATGCTTGATTACTCCATTCTACCGAAAGTTATTGGACAAAAACTCGACGAGACCAAAACTGCATGATTTCGACTACCTTTATAGGCAGATGCTTGACTTGTTTTTGGGACAATTTCCTTAACTGGAGCTACCTCGTTGTCAACAATAAGGTACTGAGCATTAGGCACTTCAATGGTACCAACCTGAACACGTCGACTTCTGTATTCAAACACTGCTCGACGATTGGCACGACAACGTTTAGCAGCCTCATTGTTCCTCCGCCGACGATCCATGTACTGTTCCTAGGGAAACCATGAAGCCAATGATATTTACAGATGAGAATGAATGAAATCGTCTCAGAACGTCTAAACCTTCTTGTCTTCTGCGGTGTTGCCATCGAGTGCTCGTCGAATAGCGGATGTTTCCGGATGGTCCTCGCTGGAATGAGGAGAAAGAGAAGCCGACGATGATATAGATTCACAGTCAGACTTAGAAGGCGAGAACTGGAAAAATCGATTTTCAAAAAATTGTACACAGAAAGAACAATCTCCCAATTTTTATTTATTCAAAGTCAGAAGCAAAACTTGGTGATAATATTAAATACATTCGCCGTAGTACAAATAATAATAGATGTCACATGAAAATAATAAAGTGTCCTGAACAACCCTAAAATAAATATATAACTATGATCTTGCAGGTCATTCTCAATAAAAACCGAACCTTAGGTGGACTACCGAGACGGCTATGGTGCTCGGTCCTGCTCTGGGGTACTGCGGGAGATGTCCTGCGACTAGCTAGAAGAGCCCCCAGAAGCGATTGCGATGGTGCGCGCTCTTGTTTATTGTGAGACGAAGGGACTGAAAAGCGAAGCTTCAGTAATGGCTCGGACTTTCTGAGTGAAAAGCTAAATAACGATAAAGGTAAGAAACACCTCGTTGAATGACTCGTTCGACACGGTCGCTGCTCGAATCTGGACTGATCCTCTCTGCCTTCATGATTACCGAATCCTTGTGAGTTTGAAAAGGCTGGAATGCCGATCCAACTGAGAACACCGATGAAGATGAGGGAGTGCCGCGGTACTGAATCTGGCAAACACTTGAGGAAACTGCTCAATGGCACAAATGTACAAGAGCGAAGTGGCTTGTAGTTAATCTTAACATGCTGCTGTAAATACTTATCCCTTTGTAACTACATCTTGAAGAGTATTAGTGGTTTATGAGGGTTTCTTCTGTTCGGAACTTGAAATTTTAGGTCCAAACTACACAGTTACCTCGTTCCTAACTACTCCTAAAATACTCAAAAGGTTAGTTGTAATGTAATGGAAAGGCGGTCTGCTATCGTTAGATTTGCCAAGAATGGCTGACACGAAATGCGTGGAAATGTGTATGAAGCAGGCAGGCTTAGTGCTCGATTTATGCGGAGCGAATGACCTCGATTTCGTCATCCGTGGATGGTTTTGAACAGCTGCTACCAATCGCCGGCTCCTATAGCAGCTCAAGGGAACTAAGTGGAAACGTTGAAATGCTGTTGTGAATTAACGCCTATAGGACTCACTTGTTGTTGAATAGCCGCTTGCAGATGACATAACTGCATGATCGGAAGTTGAGAAGTAGAAGAAAGTAATGGAACATGTGGAAGAGAGAGATTCGGAACAGCAGAATGAAGGGAGGATAGAGGTGGAACAGCCAATGATGACAAGCCCACCGATGACGTCGGAAGGTGCGTGAACAAAGGCTGAAACCGACAGATGTGATTCAGCAGGCTAAATGTTCTCTTACGGTAGTTCTGGTTGGGAATCTTGTGAATATTAAATGATGTAAAAACTCATTGTCGGAGGATATATTGTGAAAACTATGCATGCAATGCAAACTATCGATCATTGTGGATGATCAATAGGTCACTTATAGGCGCCTATAGGTTGTTAACACGGCTGAGAGACAGGCGAAACGAAGGGCATGCATGGTATGGTGGTGAACGTATTAGCCCCCGGAAAGGGTAGTAGCGCGTTCGTTTGCCACCGACACCAGCTGTCCGGTGTTTTGCAAATGTCTCAGCAACATTATGGTTATATGTCACATAATGCGCTGCCATCAAAAATTGGTAGGCAGTAAATAAAAATTGACGATATTGATTACTGCTTTCACCGGAGGTATTCTCAAATCGGATTCATTACTATTTTCCGCCAAAACATTGTTTAAAGCATAAATTCCGTACTGTGTTGGTTTGCGGAGGAAAGGAGGCAAGATCGGGTCTGGTTGTCTGTAACAGACTTTCGGCTGCCGTTCGTGATTCTAAGCGAGATTTCAGGAGATGGTTTTCTTGCGACAACGCCAAAATACGTTGCTCCATTGCCTTAAAGAATCACGACTTTAATGGTTGCAAGAAAACTGAGAATTCAAAGAAAGAACTACAGAACTGATAAGATCGTTTTGAATATGTAAATCAAAGAGAACGAAACAATTACGAAACCGTTCGTAGAGAGATCTGCATTGGTATGATAGTTTCAGTTTCACTTGATGGACCTCCTTGATCTGAAAGTCTCCGAGCAATTCAATGGCGACTTTTACGTAGCCATTTCACAACTTGTGGACATGTGGTTAGATGCGGAACAAAAGAAACAATGTACTTCTTCATAAACGATTCAGCACAAAGCCTTGTTTTCTGCGACAGGTTCATCTAACTTTTCGCACTAATATAGTCATATCAGTGCATACGGTCTTGGATGTATTTGCCAGTACAACAGACAGTACCGTATGATAAGGTGCATGGTCGGACTGTATTCCGCATGTCGACTGGGGTGACATCCTGGAAACAGGTGACATTGAAGTAAACGAAATACGCTTCGGAGGCGTCTCCAAGAAATATGTTCCACGTACACTCCAGGAGAGCTCGAAATACCACTAGCGTAATGAACGCCGCAAGTACAGGTGGCCTCCCACGGCAAATAAGGAGCTTGTATGAAAATAATAACGTTCTTCGTGTTCCTCGAGCGAACTCAATCCATTTGACAGCTCTGGCATTCGACAAGAAGGAAATAGGCTTCAGCGGCGATCCGATCGCTCATCGCTCTTAGAAGTCGATGACCAGCCCAATTATAGGGAATACCTTCACGCGTCCCGTTGAAAATTGTCTGTTAAAAGATTGTTCCACAGTAAATTTGAACAAAAAGTAGTTGGATTCTCTATTTTTCAACAGACTCATAAAAATAACACGAGAAAAACGAAAAACAGTAGGTGTCTGAAGAAGATGTTTCCAATGCGATTAAAATATGGATTTCGGGTTCCCTGTTGGCGTTATTGGCGTTATGGAAGTATTTGGGTGACTAGATTGGACGCCAGCTTGACCCTCCTGGGCTCTGAAGAAGGTGAAATGTGGCGAATCGTTAGCTATCGTGAATAAATAGCATAGAAACAACTTCGTGTGCGGTCACTAAGGAAACGGCAAACAAAGACAAGAAACTGTTTAGCAGCTTTAAATATACTATTAAACAACATAAATACTGGAAAGCTTTTCTAAAGAACAGCACCATATCACCGATCCTTCTTTTTTCCCGTGAGCGTTTTGACGCATCGTTGTTTTTCCGTCTCCGCTCCCAATACTGCTCGTCCTTTACGACGTTTTCATTCACAGAATTTCTGATAAACAAAGTTTGAGCACAAAATTGTGGGTGATAAGGATAACAAAACAATGGAAAGATGGAACCTTCTTGAGTTTGGTGAATACTCGGACGAATTAGAACTGTACTCGGCCGACGCTGAACAAACTACCGAAAGCCTCTCCGATGGTGACGACGACGAGGAGTCGACGTCCATCTAAGAAAAACGGAAATGGGTATCAACAATTGTTTACAAAGGTACATGCATCGAAAATGGATAAAAAACCCTATAACTAATGAACTATGAAGAATAGAATATTTAGTTGACCACGGAACCGTGAAAACCAATGTAAACTCGAGTTGCAGCCAACTATTGACGTCAGTGTAAAAGCGTAATCCTTTTAGTTCCTCAGGAATAGAGTCAAGCTAGCAATGCTTCTAAAGACCTCTAATAACTTAGTTCTCAATCAACAGTAATTGCCGGCTCAGATAGTAATTTGTATGATTCCAATCACCGAATAAAACGAACCAGAAGATAAGGACAGCGTCTGGAGAATTATTTAGAGCATCCTGAGAATATCAGAATACAAGCGTGTGACTATAATTTTTATTTTAGTGACAGAAATTCTGCTATTGGTTCAGGCTGCAACACTGGAGATCCTTAAAGCGGATGAGAAGCGGAACAGTAGAGGGCCCAACGGGCAGAGGCAATTATCGCCACCCGGATGCACTCCCCTAGGGGTCGACCTACATGCCCAAAACCGGCTCCCGTCCAGAAGTGACCCCCGCGATTTCCATTTCGATGTCAAAACCTGTTGTCGTGACGACGAGCCGGATCGACGTAAATCGCTGCGAGAAAGGCAACCGCTCCACGAAAGCTCAGGAATCGTACGCCCGATCGGTCAGGTTCTTTCGTCTTCAGCACTACGGTAATCTCATCGTTTTTAGGGTACAGCAAAGACGGAATCCAGTCCGATAAGAACGAACTTAGATGACAGAAGCTGTTGACACTTATGTCTCCAATTTTTTACCACGATAATAGTGCACTGCTAAGAGGATTGGAATTTAACCACTCTTTTTTCCTCATCTTAATTTCGATTATTTAGTGGGGAAGACTGTTAAGATGTGCTGTTAAAATACGAAATATTTCTCCTTACACTTGAAATGGTTTTACTGCACTTTTTCATCGCGTGGTGAACCGTTGATGGATTCGTCGCTTAATTTCTTTGACGAGTACTTACAAATTTCCGATAGCGTTCATGTTCTTTCTGCAAGAAACCTTACTCGATAACATGTGGTGCAAGTGGTGCAAATGTTTTCACAGAACGTCTAACAGTCGTCTATTCAGCACAAACTCATCCACATTTGTGACAGAAATTGGAGTAAGACAAACGGAGTACATGGACAATTTGTACACTATGTAAGCATATGTGAGGCTGCAACATGGTGAGCTGGCTGAGCGCATTACACTGTAGAGCTGACCTAGTTCCGAGACCCGAATCGACAGACGAAACCAGTGTTTTAGGCATGCCAAAATAGCCGGTTCGCTTGTTTTGTGCCCATATACGTTGCAAAACATCAGAATTTCACGTCAGAGAGACAGTAACATGAAATGAAGGCAATACGATTGACCTTGAAAAGATGGCAGCAATAGCCGATCCAGAGGATAAAACGCCACACTTGCCACAGAAAATTGTCTAAACAGATTGTCATCGTTGATATGGTTGTTTATGGGTATCAGTACTTCTTAGAAATATCCCGATGTTCTTGGAATCAAAGTTTCAGTGAAATGTAGTGATTTAAAGGTAAACGGGATAAGGTAAATCACTGGTAACATCTATACAACATCAATGTAATGCTAATGATTCTACATGAGTATATGTGGGACATGACTATGAGATGATTTCCATCTTAGGAGACTGCGGTGTTATAAAAGCTCGTGAAACATAGAACCGGATAGGAATGATTTCGGATACAAGCGTTTGAAAATGTCATAAACTATCGATTTGGAAGGATAGTTCATTTGCAACCACTCAAGACATTGGAAGAAGAAAGCACAAAAGAAATGAAGGAAAACAAAAACTACCAAATTGTCAGCAAGCACCATATAAAACAGCTTGTATACCAAACAATGCTGACAGCAGTGAATAACACAAAGTGAACTATGAGCTCGGCGGTTAACGGACACCAGCGGCCAGTTGAGGGCGGAATGGACGACATGGCGAGTACCGTACGGACGGAGGGTGGGGGTGCTATTGTTCGGTTGAGTCGAGGTCTAGTCCATGTGCAGAGAAAAGAGTGCTATTTTCGTCCTGTTCAACAAACATAGGAGCGTTTGTAGAGGCGGATCGCTGCGCAAATCTGCATTGTGTCTCTTATGCCTCCGGGCCTGCGAAACAAAAATAGACAGCTGGATGGAAAGACTGACGAAACGGGGGGAAAGAGCTAGACAAACTAGCTGCCTTCTCACCAACGCACCTTGGGAAATGCGACAAAAATAAGAAAAACACGAAAACTCGACGTATTTATGTATGATTACATATGAAAGAATGGAGAAGAGATAGACAGTGAGTAGACACATGTTGCTCATAGGACTCGCAAAATGTAGGTTACCGCTTCGTAAACAAGCCCGACTTTGATTTGTTCTCAACTCTAACTCACCTTTTCCTAAAATCTTTTTGAACGAATTCGTATTCTTTTTCAGGATACATTAAGCCTCATTTTGACACATGGACCAGGCACTATTATGCCCCTTATTTTTTTAGGTTGTATTTGATTTATATTAGTAGGAGAAAACGAAAACAAACAAATCCGAGTTAATTTTTAAGCGACTGCAAGGACAAATGTTGTGTTCCCAACTATGACTCGCAACATCGAAGTTGAATTCGGCTAAAGATCCTATTAAGCGGCGTTGGCTCAAGAAGTTTTGCGATGGAAATAAGAGCTTCGGAGGTAGATAAAGAGCAATGCGGAAGAGTTGTTACTATGGCGGACATCATTTGAAGACGGTACTTGGGCATATCCATGAAAAACGGTTCGAGAATTTGGGGAAAAAACTACTTATAAGTAAAAGAACAGCTTTAAGACTTTAAGAAAAAATGAATAAGGAACAAAATAAGAACTTGCTATGTGAAACGGCTAAAAATGAAATAGGCCCTTCTTGCTCTGAAATATGTTTTACTCGGTTTTGTGCAGGAAAAGCTACAGTCCTCTTGATCCTAATTTCAAATGGGTGTGAAAATAGACTCCGCAAGACAAATGACGACGTCCCGCGTGAAGTTCGATAAACTTGAAGTAACGAACTTCTCGCAAGAAGTAGATATCTATCAAGACTATTGAGGAATGATTAGTACTCAGAATATGGAAGCGTCTATCATAGCTTCTACATTTTTCGTTAAGCCACTGCCACAAAGATGCGCTGTCAGAAAAGCGACAAAATTTTCCAGGATTTCTGCAACCGCCATCACTGGGGGTACTAATTCTATGGATGTCTAACTATGCCTAATTCGTCATGCTTCCTGGCCTCCCTTCCAACCAACCAACACTGTTCAATCACTTCGACCCCACCACTTACCATAAGCTCCTTCAGAAGTAAAATCACTGTTGAACTCTAGCATCCAGAAAATTCATGAGCTCCAAAAAATGAAATTTTAACGTGGTGGCAATCATAAGCGTTGTTAAAGATCCGACAAAGCAATACGGAGCATAGGTATAGGGAAAAGAAAGATGAGTTCAATAGTTTGTATTTTAATAAGTAGAGGCCAATGTAAACTGAAATTTTCGCATTTTAAGTCGAAAGAAAAAACTGCATTATTCTCTTACATAGGAAAAGTTATAATTCCCATTACTTTGACAGTTTTCCAAAACATGAACAAAACATGAACAAACCATTTCTTTTCGTCAGACAATCGACATTACTCCAAAGACGCTGAGATATTTGCAAAACTCCGTACAACCTATAAAACGCGGCTAAGAGAAAGGCGAAACGAAGGACCAGCATAGTGTGGTGGTGAACACGTTAACCCCCAGAAAAGGTAATAGCGGGTTCGATCCTCACCGCAGACACCTGTGACCCGGAGTTTTGCAAATATCTCACCATCACTGTAGTTGTATTTTTCATCATACACTGCGATGGAAAAAGAACAGTAAACAGTAAACAAAAAGTGATTACATTGTGAATCAACATTACAATTAATTCACTTGTTCAGGAGACTTTCAGCACATTCTAGGATCTCTAGAGATGGCTGCTCGAAGATGAGCAACAACAATAATATCGAGTGATGCGAAGTGTCTTAGATCATCAGTAACGCCACTGTTAGTGACTATTTTGGCAGAGTAGGGTTCCCCGCAAATAAATGGATGGAAAAGCGAATTCAACAAACGGTGGGACTTGGGAAAGAACGAACAAGAGAAACCTCTTACATGAAGAACTTCCTAGGAAAGAAATCGTGTGCTAGCAGAAACTGCCACGTGTTTCTCGTTTTGGAGTGAACGCTGCACGCCCTCTAACAGGGCGGAGGGGACGCATTGAACGCCGCGAAGTAGTTGGAAAAAACGGGAACTATGACCGGCTGGAAATTAATGGATACCGACAGCGCACGAAAAGACGGGGCATCGGGATCGGTGGTCGACAAAGGAAAGCGAATGGGAGCCGGCTGCGACGACTACGGCGTTGGGACGCAGACACCATCCGGGTATCAAGTTCACGACCGAGTGACCCGGACAGTTACATCCTCATCATGTCGAATCCGGAACGACCAGCGCGGTCAATGCGATGACGATAAGTCCAGTCGGAGGACTCCTTGCTTTAAAATCCCAACGATCCTGACATGAGGAAGAAGCGGAAGGAGACAACGTGATACGTTTTATGATAATCGTCGCTCTTGTCATTTATCTTCTCGCTATTGGACTGCTGTGCAACGACTACCGAAATGAACCACGGGGATTGGACGGATAAGTTCGAATGAACCGATATACGACTCATTTTTGAATAATGCGATCTATCGTACTTCTTTCGTGCTGCAATATTACAATATAGGCACTATACAATAAAACTAACTTGATACTTGATACTTGAATGGCCAATCTACACTGGTTGTGCGGGCCCCAGCATAATCTCCATTTTTAGGAGGTTTGCTGGTTAAGTCATTATGGTTCCCTGGAGTCCCGAGGTCAGCTTGGCTAAAGTCTGCCCCAGGTCTTCACCACCACGGGCAG